CGATGACAGATTTTTTTATTTTTTTTTCTCTCTCTCTCCCGGCGTCAGATTTTTTTTTTTTTTTTTTTTTTTTTTTTTTTTTTTTCTCCCGGCGTCAGATATTTTTTTTTTTCTCTCTCTCTCTCTCTCCCGGCGTCAGGATTTTTTTTTTTTTTTTTTTTTTTTTTTTTTTCTCTCTCCCGGCGTCAGATATTTTTTCTTTCTCTCACTCTCTCTCCGTTAGATTTATTTTTTTTATTTTTTTTTTTTTTCTTGAGATCGGGGGATTTCCCATTGACCCTGTACTACCCACAGACCTATGACAAAGTCTGCTACCCAGACTTCTCATTAATGGCCCTGTACTACCCACAGACCTATGACAAAGTCCAGCACCCCCGCCTCCCTTACTACTTCCCGAGCCCGACCCATAGCACGACCTTCCAGGCAAGGCCGTGCGTATGCACGCGCTGCCGATCTAGTATTTTTATTCTACATCTATGATTATGTTCTTACGATTGGTTTGCTTACTAAAGATTGTAATAACTAGATTTGCAATATCTTAATAAAAACAAAAAAAATATCTTGCAAAGATCATAATATTGAATGGTTTCTCGAGGGGAATATTCACAAGGAACAACCACGGATAACCGAATTATATCAACATCGTCAGAGATTCATTGACATGAAATGGGACGCAGTCTAGATATTTGTAATAATCAAATGTTGTTCCACTTAAAAAAAGTCATTCCTGCTCTCTCCCTCTGCTGAAAAAAAAAACTGCCCGCGGTTGAAGTTGTTTGAATATTTTCCGGACAGATGGGACGCGGTCTAGATTATGTAGTGATAATCAAATAGTCCTTCACTTTCTTCAGAAAATCATGCGACTCGTGTGCTTTTGAGGAAAACCGTTGGTAGCTGAGGATATTGGAATTCTTTTCAGACAGAATTAAAATTGCTGTTTTTTACTCGAAAACTTTATTTACCCAAATTGTTTTTGATTGATTTTTTTTTACCTTTCAAGGGATTTAAGACGGACGATTTTTTTGTTTCTTGTTTGTCACTTTTTGTTTGCAGTTTAATGGTCATTTTTATTTGTTTTTTATTGTGTGTGTGTGTGTGTGTGTCTTGTTTCTCATTTTGGATGAAATTTAATTAAATACTATTGTTGTTTTGTGTTGAATATTTTTGTGTCACAATTATTGAGAATTTTTTTTTACGGTGACGATATTTTTTTCTAAACTCAGGAAACAAACATGTTTAGCGTCCCCGCCCGCTTCCTTTTTGGAGGCCGCCGCCTCCCTTTTTTTAACGAAAAAAATGATGAATTTTAAAGAGTGACATCATTGTGCCTCTTTGTCTGTTGCATCTAGCCAATATCAAGCTGGTTTGTCATTTCCTGAGTCCAAGTGGCGGCCATTAAAAAAATAGCTGGCGGCCATCTTGAAAACAAAAGCCCGGTCGGGCGGCCATTTTGTAGTAAAAAAGGGCCTCTTTCCTTTTCTTTCAAAAAGGCAGAACGCTAAACATTTATTTTTTCATTTGGCCTAAGACTGAGATGAAATATCGTGGCCTTGGTCGCACCGTTTTAACAAAGAGTAGGACTACGCATGTAGTGCTCAGTAGCGGTTTGAACAGATTTTTCAAAGACAAAATAGGATCATTTTCTTTTCATGCATTTTTCTTCGTTTCCCAAATCTAAAGAAGAATGTTCAAAGCCTAACCTGTTGAAGTTTCAGCTCAGTGGATATTGCACTCTTCGAGAAAACAGTGAAAAGCCATGCACAACCTTTTGATCACGAAACACAATTTCGTCGATAACACACTTTATTTCCCCAAACAAGTCTTTTGACTGATCATTGGAAGCATATATTTCTTGATTTCTTCTTAATGACAGCAAGCCAGACGAAATAATTTCACAGGGTGTTTAGTACCAGTATACGATCTTTAATTCTGATAATCTTGGCACTAATTTGGTAGGTTACCTTGCTAAAATGCAAATGAATCTATATGCCTTAATTGGAACATACAAGAGTACTGTCGGTGTGGCGGAGAATGGGCGACAGACACCTTAGGGCTTTAATGTAACCTTAATTTAATTCAACGTGAGTGTTCGACATTCATTTCAAACAATCTCTAGTCTGAATCAGTCATGCCCCGGGGAATGGACAAGCCCGGCCGCTAAAAGCTCCATGATTGCTTCACATGTGTACCGTTGGCTTTTGTATTGAACCGTTTCCGTTACGGCGCTTCCAAAAACCAAACAAAATGAACACTATAAGATGAAACGAACATAGTATTTTGTAAGCTCTCTGACAATTCTAACCCTCTTCTTCCTTTTTCTGTTAAGTGGGAGCACTCAAGCACCAGTCCGTAAAGGGCCCGGTGTCTGAGAGCCATTTGTTGTCCAAGGTTAAAGAAGTATAGGGCCTACATTGTTTATAAATGTGCGAGTCATAGGAAGTGCCGAGACAGCATGTACAAATCCTGCATACCTTATGATAGTGTTCCTAGTATAGATCTGATTCAACTATGCAATTGGGTCATTCTGTACATTTCGGATCCAAATTGTGCCATTCTTTTCATGTCCCTGTTACCTTGGTACGTTGTGTTTACCAATGAAGTATCATTAAAGCTATAGTCCATCATTTGTAATTAGTGCATTTTGTTCGTTTGAAGCAACAAAAGTGTGCAAAATCTAATGAAGGATACTGAACTACTTACTTGATGAAGTTTAAGCTCAGCTTCAGCTTCATATTCCAAGAAAAACAGCATTCTAGGATCTCAATTTAAAATCAAAAGTTGCTAAATCATGTTTCGAAGTGTTTTGAATTGCAGCTTTACGCGATGTCGCGCACTGATCCAACGAATTATAGCAATCGCGCGCGCCTGTGCGTCGTTCCAATGCTTGTGCGCGCTGCGCCGAATAACAAAACGAACAACTAATTTAAATTTTCCTACGGTGATTCTAAAGTAGCACCGTTGGAAATGCCTGCTTTCGTCGATTTCTTTAAAATGAGAGCTTGCCAGAAAGGATAATTTCACAGGAAGTTTAGTCCCCTTACTATCTTTCAACCAGTATGTTTTTCAACAATAATTACGCCAGTTACTTTCTTGGATATCTGCAAATGATGGACTTGGGCTTTAAGAATGGCTTCAAACGATTTTGCATTTGTTAGATATATAGTTTGCTTTTCATTATCACTCTTGGATGATGATTGTACTAAGAATTGTATCAAAATTATGAAATCATTGATGTCAGGTGAAACAGGGACAGGAACAAGAGTTGATCACAAATGTATAGAATAACCCAATGAAAAAAATTATTGCTTTCGAAATCATAATTTAAGAGCATGTAAGGGTACTCCAGGTTCACAAAAGATTGAAAAAGTACGATATATTCGCGATACAATTTTATATTAATCATTTTTAAAGTGATTCTACGAAATTACTCAACCAGGAGGAGCTCCGTGTATCGCGTGTAAATCGAGCTTGGGTGACATTGCGAAGGTCATATGTGACCCGCTCTGCAAAAATGAGTCACATGTCTCCAAAGCCACTTTTGAGCTAAAGGTCTTTGAAAGAATGTTGCACAGTGTTTAAGCAATTGGAATCCTCAACATTTTAAATTCTACACAATGTCCATTTTCATCAAGCCAAACATTCTTTCAAAGACCTTTAGCTTAAAAGTGGCTTTGGAGACATGTGACTCATTTTTGCAGAGCGGGTCACATATGAGGATTTGTTTTTTTTCTAATCATGAAACAACCGTAGTGATCGTAATAATTTCAAATCCCGCAGATAACAGTCGCTGACTCAGTCTTCTCTACCCTCCGCAATCAATTATCAATTTGCTACTGGCTGTTTTTCCCAGAGGCACATTTCCAATTTTCTGTTTTTTTGCTGTTGTTTTATCCCGTTTTAGATCCAAAGCTCCCTCTGCTTGACTAAACACCGCCAGGCGAAAACTGAACTCCGAAAAATATGAATACAGTTCAAGTTTGTAATTTCAGGTCATCCGAGAATTGAAATTGCTATGGGAAAAAACCAGCAAAGAGTCAAATTGAACACGAAGTGTTGACAAATGTTTGAATGATGGAATTGCGTATTTCAGTCGTTTCTTGATTGTGTTGGGTTTCTCTTACGATATATAGCCTAGGCCGACTAACAAATCATGTTTTTTTTGCTTCTCATTTGGTAACGAAATGGCCATAACTCGCATCATCAACATAGAAGGAAGTGTTTTGTGGCGCAAGAAAATGTCCATCTCTGCACAGTGACAACAGCATACTGCACTTTCCATTTCTGATTTGATTTGTATACCTTGTGCTTGTGCATTTTTTTTCAAGTAACACTATTTTTTCTGTTGTAGAATCGCTGCATTTTTTTCTCTTTAATCCAAACACAATGTTTAGCTTCATAAGTTAAAGGATCTAAATTTCACATTTTTTTTTTCAATTTTTGGGGTGGCTAAAAAAAAAAAAAAAAAAAAATCATTTGAAATTTGAACAGATTTTTTTTGTTTTTAATTTGAACAGATTTCTTTTTTTTTATAATCTCGGAAAAAAATATAACATTTTGGAAAAAAATATTACGAACTGGTTTTTAATTACATTAACATTCCAGTCTTTGTCATTTATAAACATAAATGCTGGAAAGGATTCAGACTCAGACATACGGCAAAAGCAGAGACTGATTGCATAGTCATTAACATTCCCTACAAGTCAATAACAATTTTAAAGAAGTCCCATTAAGTCTTAATTACAAACAGAACCACGCAAAGAAGGCCGTTGATTAGTCTATGTAATAGACCTTGGCGAAAGTTATACTTGTTAAATGTGTCTATCTGTGCAAAAATGCATTAGTTCGGTTTTGTTTTTGTGTTTGGGTTTTTTTGTCTGGGTTTTATTCTGAAATCTTAATTAGTGTGGTTGGTGTGGTTGGTCATGCAACGCTATTTCCTTAAGGGTTTTCCATTCCAACTCTGATATTTAATTTCAATGTCATCTTGGATTTGTCTGTAGGGGAACTTGCCCGCAGCACTGAACAGGTTGTACGAGTTCCTTTACGAGCCGCCGGTCAAAGTCGCCATCTTCGGCTCTTTGCTGTCTTCGCTGACTGAGGTAGTTGCTGAAGTAATTGGAAAGTGGAGCATCGTCGAGGTAAATATAAGATAAATTAGCAGAAACCTTCAACATCCGCTCCGTTCACAAGTACCTCCTCACCGGCAAAGAAAGTACAGTTGGCGGTCGGACCGAACGACGCCATCTTGCCTGACTGCAATATTTTTTTTCCGCGGAGCGCGGCCACTGCGTGTACATAGTACAAATCCCCTGGTGTACGTGCGTCACACAGGGAACGATGCACGCGCGTTAACCAGCGAAATGTATGTGTCCCGCCTAATGAGACGTCGTTGCTGGGTACAAGGGCGCCCTCTTTAGTTGGCGCACGGAGCCCATAGACTTATCCGGCAGCAGCCATTTTCTGCGGTGGCGCCAGGCTCCCGCGAGTCGCACTCAGGTAGTACGCACGCACTCCGGGCTCCTTCGACCCCTTCTTACAGGGGGGGGGGGGGGGGGGGGGGCACCGTACCAGCATGTTATGAGGGGCACCATGGGGCTGAACCTCTTTTTTTCTATCAAATTTATGCACATTTCATAAAGACGTATGGTTAAGAGAAGAGAACAATAGTCATCTTGATTCCTCTTCGTTTTAATAACTCAAACAGTTCTGTAATTGTTGTTTTTTGGAGGGTGGGGGGGGGGGGGGGGGGCACCTGGGGCTTCTTGGAATGGGGACGGGGGGGGGGGCACGTTCCGCAAGCCCCTACACTCCCTCTTAGGCTATGCCACTGTTGCCCACTACCGGTCCCTACAGTAGACATTCAAAGGACAATGGAGGGACCGAGAACCAGTCTTAGTTTTGACAGGGCAATGCAACGCTAAAAAATAATCAATTTGGTTATCGCACACGTGAAATCCGTGTGCCAGTCTGCCAGGGTGTAGCCTTGTCACGATTGATAGCACCCATTCTCGCGCGTATATATTGCGCGCGTTCTTGTCCAATCCTCAAAACACCTCAAAAATTCAAAAAGATGACCAATGAAGGCTCGCATTGAGTACCTTCTTTGGTGTTGGTTCAATTCTTTCCTGGGAAGAAAACAAGGCATGGTAGTTTGGAAGCCAGTAGGAAACATTAGGACTAAGAAAGGACGATGCTGATACAGAGAATCCACGTCGTCAAAATGTCTCATAAGTCCATCACAAGCCCATCACGAGTCGATCACAAGTCAATCACAAGCCAATCACAAGCCAAACACAAGTCCTTCACATCATCACATTATCATCTACAATCGATTACAATATGCATTTGCGTCAAGCACGATGACGGACACGCCACATGTCCCGTTCCATCATCAGCGTCCTGAGTTCATCAGTAGTCACGGCACCACTGTCCTCCATTGAGGTCTTCACCATGATTTTGGAAGGCGCCCACAGTTGATCCTCCCATGGGTCGGTTCCCAGATGATGACTCTTGCTGGCAGGCGACTTTTGGTGTGGCAGACAGTGCCCGGCGAGTTGCATCCGCCTCCCTGCTATCTTGTTTGTTGACATGGGAAGATCGCCATAGAGTTGCTCAATTGGTCACTTGCTGCATCCACCTGACGTTGAAGAGCATCCGGAACATCTGAGTGTAGCAGCCATCAAGGGACTTACTTGGCCATGAACTTAGTGCATGAGTGAGGGTCCAAGCTTGACATCCGTAAAGGAGGATTGTCCCGATTAAGGCTTCGGATATATTGAGTGCTCTGGAGAGGTTGGAGGTCCAGATAGTCCTCATATCACTGAGTGCTTTCCAGGCAAGACCTCTACGCACCTTTGATATCGTTATCCGAGCTCGCCATGAATGACCCGAGGTACTTGAAGTCAGAGACTCGTCACAAGCTCATCACAAGTCCATCACAAGTCGATCACATGCCAAACACAAGCCCAAAACAAGTCGATCCCAGAAACAGAAGCAATCCAGTCCTAATACAGGTAGCGTGCTGCTCTCATCAACATCTACTTGTGACTATACTTGTGTTTTTCTTGTGATTGACCAGTACACGATTTGTAACGGCCTTGACTACAGCCGTCTGGAACAAAACAAAATCCCGTTTAAAAATTCTGACGAACTCAATTAATTGAGTGGGATTCTAACCCGGTACACTGTTTCTGTTCCTTCCAGATGTCCCCAGGTGCGACCACTCCAGTCTTAAGTAATCGGGACAAGTACCCACACATCTACCGAATGCTGACGTCAGCGGCTGGCTTCTCCGGAGCAGAGTTTCGCATGTGCGGTATGTTCGGATGGAACAAGATTGCGACCCTGCACGAGACTACAGAGCCGCATGTTGGAGTGAGTGGAACCAAACCAAGCCAAACTTGAATCCCACCTAGCCCATCCCACCCCATCCCAATTCAGCCCAGCCCAGATCACTACCAAACCCAACCTAACCGAAATCAAGCCAACCCTACACAACCCATGCTTTAACAAATTTAGATGAACAATTACCTTCAAATAAACTAAGGCCTCCGAATTGACGAAGGTGCACGAAAAAACCCTTTCCAACTACCTGTATTTACCTGATCTAGGAGTCTCTTTACCCAAGCAGCTTTTAAAGCAAAAATGTTCTGCTCAAAATTGATTATATTCCAACCTCCTTGATCAAAATTATTAAATAAAACAGTGCGTGTAATTTTGTCCGGTTCGTTGTTCCACAAAAAAGCAAAGAGCATAGCATTAATTTTCTTTAAAAAGATCTTGTTAGGAATTGGCAACACAGAAAAACAAAACTTAGCTTAGGCATAACTAATGATTTGGGGATAGTAATTTTACCCTGTAGAGTCAAATTTATCATACTCCAAAGTTTGAGAGAATTTTCAATTGAGAATACAATATAAGATCACAATTTATATAAAGATGTGGTCTTTATTTAATGAAAAACAGATGCCCAATGATTTAAAGGAATCTTTACCCAATTTGAAGGGAAAATCAGACTTGAATTTGGCAGTACTGTTTCTGTAACAGCCAATGTGAACAACCTCTGACTTATGGTAGTTAACACTTAAAGCAGAACATTATCGTCTTATCGTAAGCCTTTTTCTTTATCTTCGAGAGTGTCCAATGTTTTACGTTAAGTGTTTTCAGACCCATCCCAAATTGAGAAATGTTTAGATGGTCACCATCAACATGAATACCATTAATATCATTGTTCCTCTTAATAGCTTCTGCCAACGGTTCAACTGTTAAAATATAGAGAAAGGGTGATATCGGGCAACCTTGCCTTACTCGTCTAGTGAATGGAAAAAAAAAACCCGAAGAATTACCGTTGTTCATAATCGTGCTTTCAATATTGTTATAAAAAGCCTTGATCCAGTTTCTTAAATCTTCACCAAAACCCTAATAAATAAGAGCCTTATTTAAATAATGCCGTTCAAGCTTGTCGAAGGCTTTTTCAAAATGTACACAAAATATACCAGGAATATCTTCCTCTTCAGTATACTGTGAAACTTCCATGATAGTTACAATTTTTTTCACGAATATATCTTCCTGAAACAAACAATACCCCCATTCTGCATTGCAGGTTATAAACGAGCTCCAGCGCCTGGTATCGACCAGCAATGTGTCCATTATCGCCGCGGAGAGCTTCTACAAGGACCCATATGAAGCTATGGAGCGCCTCAAGGTAAAATTAATTTGCCGTAGCCAAACATCGAAAGGCAATTATTTTCGGCCAGCAAGTGTCGAAAGCCTTTAGGTCATGGACCGCTGTGACGTTTTCTTTAGGAGCACCAGTCATTTATTTAACCACGTGTCTGGAACAAAAGCCGATACAGTGGACAATTGAGCAATTATAATTCATTGTTACGCAGTTAAACCGACGATGAGACAAGGAAATACACATGCGACAAATATGTGTAAACCATAATTGTTGGGCAACGTTATTTTCCCAACATTGGTATGACGTTACCTCTTTGTTTGTTCATTCGGTTAAACATTGACCTACAATTTCAGATTTGCCCAAAATGTCGGCAATGGGGTACGTTGACCAACATTGGGCAGAAAATCAAACCCATTCGCCCCACTTTTTCTACAGTGTATTAACACAGAAACATGCGTAACTATAATTGTCAGTTTTTCTCATTGGTTTTGCACTTCAATGTCTTAAATTTACAATCCATCGTTTGTAATTGTGCATTTTGTTCATTTGGAGTAACAGAAGTTCTCAATATCTAAAAAAGGGTGCTGGATAACTAACCTGTTGAAGTTTCAGCTCAGCTTCAGCTGTATTTTTTTTCGAAAAAAACAACAACATTATTGGATCTCGGTTTTCAAATCAAAAGTTGCTGAATCATGTTTTAAATTGAGCCTAAATTCAGCGTCCGAGACACGTTCTCACTGAGCCGATTGCAGCTACGCGATGTCGCGCACTGTTCCGACGAATTATATTAATCGCGCGCGTGTGTGCGTCATGTCAACGCTTGCGCGCTTCGTCGAATAAAAAAAAAACGAATTACTAACGGAAATTGATTGATTGATCGTTGATTTCTTCAAAATGACAGCTTGCCAGAAAGAATAACTTCACATCGAGTTTAGTTCCCTTACTTTCTTTCAACCAAGTATGTTTTTCCACAATAATTACGTCAGTTACTTTTTGGATAGCTGCAAATGATGGACTGTAGCTTTAATGTTATAATCACTGTATGTTCAGTACTTTTAAAAGCTTATGAACAAAAACATTTGTTAAGAAACAAGGTTGTTCGGGTCGGACTCGAACCAACGACCTCCCTGTTTGCAATGATTTGCAATTTTTTCTCGCATCAAATGCACCATCAGACGCACGAATAGCCGAGCCTGCTAAGAGTTGGCTAAAGGGTTCTAATACGATCTTTAAGCTCCCTTCAGTGGCGGATCCAGAGAGGTTCGTGCCGGGGGGGGGGGGGGGCGCAAAGGCTCATTCGAGTGAAAAATTGCCTTATTTTAAAAAAATATGGTCACTGCCGGGGGGCGCACGCCCCCGTAGCACCCCCCATGGATCCGCCAATGCCCTTCATAAGTGTTCCTTCAGCGACTAGGAAAGGAGAGTTGGGGGAGACATCGATTGGATCCCGGTACATCCACTGCGTATTTCGATTGATTTAAAGTTATGGGGGCGGGGATTAGTCTGGGAGACTATCGCAAGTTAGTGTTGGCTATTCAGGAAATCTTGCATACTTCACGCCCAAACCAGTAGAGTACAGTACACATACGCTGTGTGTCCCGTCTACGGGGCTTTCAAAGGTGGTAAAACGCACCCTCTTTTGATGGCGCACAAAGCCCATAGCAGCGGGTACCGCAATCAGTATCTTGTGATTTCTTTTTTGTTCAAAGTAGTGAATGGTTGATTTCATCTCCCGTACAAATCCGTGAAAAACGAAACATTACATCTGTTGTAATTAACAAGAACTCAATCCAAAACAACATTTAGAAGGAAAAAACATAAACCAAAATAAATACTCCAACAAATAAACAAGACAATTCCTACTAAAAATACAGCGTCACAAATAACAGCATCGCCCACTACCATGCATACTGCCAAACTGATATAAAACTGTTTGTAAAAAAAAGGGGGGAAAAATTTGGTCATGCTAAGAAAAACCAGTCACACTCATGTGAGAATGACAGTCGATACCAATCCCGCATCGCGGAAACGTAAGGCCGACTCGTGTATGTTCGTGCGTCATGCACTCGAAATCCAATTAGCGACGTCTGGCACTACGAATTATCCGGAAACAATGATAAAAGAAAATGAAATAATGAAGATAAAAACCTTGAGAAGCCATCATTTCCTACATTGATTCCCATGAGGTTTGTTTCCCATTTCCTGATTAAGAAAATGATGACCAAACTAATACTTGTGCATACCAACCAGCCCAATTACGTCTGAAGAAGAGACACCTCCGCTTTCTTGATTAAGTAAGAACATTCTTACGCCTCGCGCCTTATCTTGAATTAGATTCCAGCCATACTCGTTTATTTTATTTTATTTTGTTGGGCTGTTTCGGCAACCAGCCGAGACAGCCTTTGTTTTCGTTAAATTTGTTTTTCTTTTTTCTTCTTTTTCAGCCTTTCCCCTTAGCATTTGTACACGTTTTCTCAGTAGAAGGCACTTTGGGCACTAAAATCAATCCGATTGACCTTATACTCGGCACACACTTAGACCAGCATCCGAAGATGTGTGTCGAACACTGGCGTCATCATGACGTCATTACGTGACCCGTGACGTCACAATATAGGTGCATATTTTGAAGGCCTATATTTTCATAACTACAGGTCAGATTGGGTTGAAACCTGGTATGTACCTAAACCAGGATGTGCTTCAGATGAAAACATACGTGACTTCACGATTACGTCATCACGTGACAAGTGACGTCATATTAAATGTGCATATTTTAAAGGTCAATATCTAATGAACTACAGGTCTGGTTGGTTTGGAAGTTGGTATGTACCTAGACTGGGATGTGTTATAGATGAAAATAGAAGTGATGTCATGATGACGTCATCATGGGTTACGTGACGTCACGTTAATGATTAATAAATTTAATCTTTAAAAATCAATATAAAATCAACCGTGAGAGACCTGAACATGAGTTTTGCAAGAATTGATAGAATAATCCAGGGTCTTCATTTTTGATATTATGTGCAAAATCATGTGACCCTTCCTTCAGGTTGAAACCGGAAGTGCCTTATAATTAAAAATCGGTGAAAGATGTGAACTTGCTTTCAACGATATATGCTCTGACTAAGTTGTTATTTACCCAAAAAATATAATTATAGATGAACATTGATATTGACGTCGTTATGACGTCATCACGTGACACGGGACGTCATAAATCAAAGCCCTATACGAATGTTATCACATATTATATGCTACCATTTATTATAAACATAACTATCCTTCCTGGATAGAACTCATACTTGAAACTGTACTGGTCACATGTCACACAAAAGTTAACCGAAACAGCCATGTGTTTGTCCACAAACATACGTCTAGTTATGTATTTGTTATTATTTTCTTTTGCTACGAAACTGCGGTATATACTGGGTACAAGCCAGGACACAGGTGCGTAGAAGTATACAGGAAGACGGAGGCAATTACTATGAAATAATGGTTTTTATGGAATTGCAGATCAATACATATTTCACGATGCATGCATTTTACATGGTCACATGTCATAAAAAGTTAACCGAAACAGCCCTGTGTTTGTCCACAAACATAAGTCTAGTTATGTATTTGTTATTATTTTCTTTTGCTACGAAACTGCGGTATATAGTGGGTACAAGCCAGGACACAGGTGCGTAGAAGTATACAGGAAGACGGAGGCAATTACTATGTAATAATGGTTTTTATGGAATTGCAGATCAATACATATTTTACGATGCATGCATTTTACATGGTCACATGTCACAAAAAGTTAACCGAAACAGCCCTGTGTTTGTCCACAAACATACGTCTAGTTATGTATTTGTTATTATTTTCTTTTGCTACGAAACTGCGGTACATAGTGGGTACAAGCCAGGACACAGGTGCGTAGAAGTATACAGGAAGACGAAGGCAATTACTATGAAATAATGGTTTTAATAAAATTGCAGATTAATAGATATTTACGATGCATGCATTTTGCATGGTCACATGTCACAAAAAGTTAACCGAAACAGCCTTGTGTTTGTCCACAAACATACGTCTAGCTATGTATTTATTATTATTTTCTTTTGCTACGAAACTGCGGTATATACTGGGTACAAGCCAGGACACAGGTGCGAAGAAGTATACAGGAAGACGGAGGCAATTACTAAGGGAATAACAGTGAGAGGATCCGGTCTTCACTTCGTGGTAATGACCGGGTTTGGGGGTGACCGCTGTAAATGGACCGAGGTCCATTAACAGCGGTCACCCCCACACCCGGTTATTATCACGCAGTGAAGACCGGATCCTCGCACTGTTATTCCCAATAATAAATACCTTTTTAACGAAATAACAGTTAAAATGCTCCAATTTTGTGACTTTTTCCCAGCGATATTTCGAGACTTTTTCTGTGTTCATGTTCATGGGCCATATGTTAGCTTATGCGTGGTACCCTGTCTCTTCAATAAGCGTTGTTATATACACCACAGCCGGGCCCAGGCTGCGCAGGACAATTGCAACGTCCTCATTGCGTACGCGTACGACTTCTGCTGCCGTAGCCAAACAAATTACAACAATGTTTTCATATTTTTACCTTATGGAGGAAGCTGAAATTTCTTTTACACATTCCTTGTGTCCAGAATTACAAAAATGCTTGGTTTAGGAAAGGTAAATATGTCGATGGGCGAAGTATTTACAGAAAATAAATCGTAGATCTACGCTTTCGTCGTAAACATCCTCAGTATACTGCACTGCCGCTGTACGATGTCGTTTCAAAACTTGCTTAAAACCACATGTACACAAACCAGTCCCTGCGTCGCCTAAACACCGGATGAGTTTTTTTGAAACTCCCGCTCTCCGGTTATCACCAATCTAATGGACCCGCTGGCGAGGTATGTGTTGACAAGTTATAACCCACCCATCACCGCAACCCAGCAGTGGAACTGATTTTACTCCCTATATGTGTATTGAATTTCCAAAAAAGGAAAAAAAAAACTTAACAAATACGCTCTAGGCAGTTTAGTCATATAACTACACAGGTATCCATACCAGTGCTTGTAAGTCTTAAATAAACGAAAATCTTCCCTAGCTGGTTGCAAACACAATGTTTTCAAAAAAAGATTCATCAGCTCGCAGAGCCCCTCATACTCCAATGTTATCATACATCCCATAAAAAGAAAAGAATGAGGAACGGCCCTGCTGATGCTGATAGCAAATCCCATCCCCCTCCCATGTTTTAAACCCCAATTCACGGCGGCAACTTTCTTGGAATGACCTTGGAACTTTCCAACAAGTTATTAATATCAACAGATTATTCCCTGAATTTTGCTTGCACAAAACCGGCTCTTCCTTGCTTTTTTACTAGCCAGAAAACCACTTCTTTTTAAGAAAACACAAGTCTGATAAAAACTTAGATGCATGGTGGCGGCCAAACTCCATTCAATTTAACTTAAAATGTAGTGGCGACATGTATGATTACGCCCCTTCTTATTAAACACAGATCTACGCTTTCGTCGTAAACATCCTCAGTATACTGCACTGCCGCTGTACGATGTCGTTTCAAAACTTGCTTACGCGCCCGCACCCATAGCAACTGTGTTGCGTACGCGCGCGTCAGTCTCACGTGAAGGTGGTTGAGCGCATGTGCAGTGCTGTATTGTTACAAGCTGCCGTATGACTGTTGTAAATTTGGCCAATCATTGCCTTCCATGAGGCTGGATAAATGCTGGTTCAGGGGCCATTTTTTCGCTTGTTCTTTGAAACCGGTCCATTATCACCGTTAATGCCCGGCCACGTGATAGAGTTTCGACCAATCAGAAACCATCAACTATCCAAGGTATTTATTACTATGAAATAATGGTTTTGATGGAATTGCAGATCAATAGATATTTTACGATGCATGCATTTGGCATGGGACCGCGTGATAGGAGTCCTATTACAAGCGTTGGGCCACCTCTTTGTAAACCTAACCTAATTTCCCCTTACTGGGTAAGCGACAAATGACAAAAGTAAGCATTGAAATAAGTCATAATCCATGCATCAAATGTAAAAAATGCAGAAAAATGTACATGACACAAACTTTACAGATCTCATGGGTCGTAGGTACCTCAGAGTGGCTGTTCTTTGTTATTATAATTTCATATCAATGAATACACAAAGGGCTTACTCTGCCTATCCCAGATTAAAATAACCATTGTCCTCTAACTCCACCTTATCGAATAAGGTATATTGCCATATGCTTGAAACATCATATACAAGCACGAAATTTAAGAAAATATTGTGTTCAGAAGGAATCCAAAAGATGTGAAATTTTTGAACTAAATCGTACTACAATTGTTATTGTTATTTCTTATTTGCTCAAATATCATTTGCTACCTTGAATATCCTTGCTTTTTACAGTATAAAACATTGCACATTAGTGATTTGGTTACCATCGCCTCTACAGACTTATAATCTGCTGTTTATGTAAGATGTGATTGTGGCGTGCACATTTCAGCTGCCTCATTGTTAAAGGTAGAGTCCATCATTTGCAGCCATCCGAAAAGTAACTGGCGTAATTATTGTTGAAAAACTAACTTGGTTGAAAGATAGTAAGGAGACTAAACTCCCTGTGAAATTATTCTTTCTGGGAAGCTGTCATTTTGAAGTAATCAACGAAAGAAGGCATTTCCAACGGTGATTCTTAAGAAGCACCGTAGGAAAATTTAAATTAGTAGTTCGTTTTGTTATTCAGCGCAGCGCGCACAAGTATTCGAACGACGCACACGCGCGCGCGGTTGTTATAATTCGTCGGATCAGTGCGCGACGTCGCGTATAGTTGCAATTCAAAACAATTCAAAAACATGATTCAGCAACTTTTGATTTGAAATTGAGATCTTAGAATGCTATTTTTCTCGGAATGTACAGCTGAAGCTTAGCTGAAACTTCATCAGGTTAGTTGCTCAGTATCCTTCATTAGATTTTGAACTCTTTTGTTGCTTCAAACGAACAAACTGCACAAATTACAAATGATGGACTCTACCTTTAAAAAAAGAAAAGAAAAAAAAGCTACGGCAATGAAATGAAATGAAGGTTGAAAGCTAGGCAGAAGGCGGGAATTAACCCAATAAATAAAAATCAAAGTGCTTTCCATGATCTGGGTCTAGGTTGGAATGTCTGTATAATGTCTTCAAGAAATACTGGTCTATTTGTATAAATAGCAGGGACACGAAATCCTTCTGTCCAATTGTCTGAATCCCTAGGAAAGTGTCCAGCAAAGATCAATGTTGGACGGTAAACCTCTTCAAGGCGATGTCATTATGAAATAATGTTACACATTGGCATTGAATTCCTTTTTATGTATGGGTTTGGCAAGGATAACAACATATTAGTTTGTTCTGTTGTTTGTTGCAGAGTAAAGATGTTCGGATCATCGTAGCGAGCTTCTACGAAAGAATGGTTCGGAAGGTGTTCTGCAGTGTGAGTGACCTCTGATTAAGGCTTACCATGGACAAATGTTGAGCATAAAGGGTCGGGTTTATGTCTGCCTGAGACCACTTTTATAGAACAGCTATGCACAGATTCTTGCCAAGCACAGCGTTTTGCTGTTAGAAAACAATGCATAAAAGCCACGGGAAGCGCCTGTGCGTACTTTTGCTGCTGCCAAAATATTTTTGTATCTGATTCAGGGGTCAAAGTAAATACGGAGCTTTTCAGCATAACGCTCTGCTAGGCACTGCAATTGTCCTAGCCCATTCGCGGGGAGGTATCCAGACTTAATACCATGTGACTTTTTTATGGTTATGACTTATTCTCAGCCAATCAAATAGAGACTGAAAGTGTGCCATTTTACATCTGTGAGCTTCCGTTCCTGACCCTTCCGTGACCCTTCTATGGGAATTTTACACGGAGTTGCCCTTTATCTTTCTATAATTGTTAATAGAATGGTTTCTAACCGTAATCACCTCAAGAAACATTCATGTTGGACTTTTATCTTGGCATTCCACAAAAAAAAGTGATGAGAAATCAGTTGGAGATGGGTAAAAAAGAATTTTACTTACGACCTTTCGCATCCGGGTTTTCGTACCTAGGTCTCCTTGTTTGATCACGTTTGTTTTCACATCGCGTACATGCGTGAATGATAACGAAAATGAAAACGAAAAGCATAACGACGCGAAGATTTACCTACCTACGTCTGATGAATTCTAGATTTAGTCGGGCTTGCTTGAACTTAGTTCGTATCAACGGTCTTTTTTTATTTGTTTGTAAATGAGAATTTTGTCCTTCAACTTTATTAAAAAACAAATTCTGGTCATCAGGGTCAAACTTTCAGGCTGTATAACGGATGACTATTCTTAGTAATGGAGCGCTTGAGGAGAACGTTATGCTTGCTAAGCACTACGTTTATTAGCAAAATTAGGGCTATACCAGACGAAATGTCACGCCATATACATGTACATGTATAATGCTTGTGAATGGTTCTGACATTATGCGTTGCAGGTATCTCAGGATGTTTGTTGTTGTTGTTGGTGGTGTTTCAGATGATTAACAATAAAACAATGGACTTTTTGTTTGACTCGTGCCTATCCAAGCGATCAAAACCATTCCCATCTAACACCGCCTTAATGCATAACGTATATTTATATGTCACACCGTCCACAAATAAGCGCCAATTCATGGAGCTATAAAATGTTTGGCTCATCAACATGTTGTTGTTGTTCTTGTTTCAGATGATTAACAATAAAACAATGCACTTTTTTTTACTCGTGCCTATCCAAGCGATACACAACCATTCCCATCTAACACCGCCTTAACACATAAGGTATATTTATATGTTACACCGTCCGCAAATAAGCGCCAATTCGTGGAGCTTTAAAATGTTTGGCTCACACAATTAATGTATAAGCTGCTGCGGCAATACATTTGTTTGCTTGTCACTGTGTCCAGATATTCAAGTTGAACATGTACGGCCCTAACTACGTCTGGATGATACCCGGTTACTATAGCAACGGCTGGTGGATGGTGGAGGAGGAAGGGGTGAGCTGCACCGTAGAGGAACTCAAGCAGGCCAGCGAGGGGTACCTGACTATCGCTTACAGCAAGTATGGAAGGGGCGAGGAACCAGGTGTCGGTGGAAGGGTAAGGAGATGGATCCAGCAATTTAGACCTTCAAAGACTTTTTCAAACTATAGCGCCTAGGTTCCAGCTGGCAATTTTGTTGACACAATATCCATATTCATATTCACCTTGCGATGTTGTTTCCTTGTCTACAGTAAACATAATTCGGCGTTGGCGTCATTCAAAATCCTTGCTACAATGCACTTTATTTATGAATTAGGCACGCATTTTTGGGTCCATTTTTTGGTACTGTATGTTCTCAGTGCATGTATTCATAATATCCGGACACTGGCCGCTACGGTTGGCGCGTTTCTTGACCTATCGCCGTTTGCGTGTTAGCCAAGCCCCTTAGACAACCCTATGGACTTTTTGTACACAAAGTTTTATTTGTTTCAGATTTCGCGCGTTCCGCGCCCATTTGTATATCATGTAATTGGACAATATTTCACAAGCTGCGTTGTCGCGATTCGAACGCGATTCTACCGCGATTACGTCTATCAGTTCACGTTGCGTGCTTCTGGCAACGAAACGTTGCGCCCTATGCGGTACAAGTATGACGATATGTCAACTCAACCATGCTTTAATGTGCACACGGTGTATCATTGCACCAATGGAACCGGAAGTTACCGCAACGTGAGTGTTAAACCAATGGGCGATTGTAATCAGTGGTGTATGCGCGTGTTTAACGAAGTCACCTAAACGAACCTGATAACTACCATGTTACGCAAACGCTCATTGTCATCTTTAAAAAAAAACGCGCGTCGTGCGACTGTCGCCTTGCGCCTTGCAGGACGTAGCGTTTTGTGGTCAATAATTCGGGCGAAAGTCAGGTCTGTCATCACATTATTACTTATTCAACGTCCTAACCGTATCTCTGCAGACGCCGGCAGAATTCAGGCACGAGATGGCGGACGTGGTCGGGTACGAGATTACCATCACCGACCGCGGCTCGGTGGCGGCGGGCTATGACTGCATCTGGGCCTTAGCCATGGGCCTTGAGTCTGCTGAGGCCAGGCTGGGTAGGGGGCTGGATTCGTACCGGTACGGGGACGATGAGTTCGCCCGGACAGTCGGCAGAGCTTTCCAGGATCTGAGCTTCCCTGGCATGTCGGTGAGAACTACGTGAAAGCTTAAAGAAAACACATGAGATTTGAAGGTTAAATTTTGTTTAAATAAAAAGGAAAATGTCCAGGATTAATATCATAATAAGAAGTTGCAGTCGTTTATTTGTTATTATTTTTTTTTTTTACATTTGTCGCACCACAAAAACATCCCCCGTCATATCAACAAAATGTGTATACATCTTTTGATGCATTAAGATCCGCATGACACTTCTTTTTTGGGGCATTGTCTTGTTAGCATCAAAGATTATCCAGAGGCGTAGGGGGGGGGGGGTGTTAACAAGTTCGTGAAAAGGGCGCTGTTCAAACCGGACGATCATGCAAACTATCAGACAAGAGATAGTGCTTTTCAAGTCATGCAGCTGGTAATAAAAGGTGCTTGTTAAAAAAGGGCACTCTGCAAATATTGTGTGGGGTGGACGCTGGTTAAAAAATGGGCGCTTGAATGGGAAAGGGCAGTCTTTAGAAAACCCCCGGTGGTTACGCCTCTGTTATCCATTGTTGTAACTAATCTACCATACATTTGTCCTTGATTTTGTTAACAGGGTCCAGTACAGTTTTCTGAAGGAGGCGACAGAAGTGGTGACCTTTTGATAGAACAAAATATAGGTAAGAATAACCATTTTTAATTCTTCCCGTCCGGAACTCCCACTAACAAAAATAAGTAAATACAAAATGAATACCCATTCAGGCAATCGAGACGTTATTCGAAAAGCTATGGGAATTAAATCCCAGAAGTTACGAGGGTGTTGCCTCAGAACATTACCAGAGGTTTACAGTTTACCTATAGCATAGGCGTAGCCAGCAAAAAAAAGGGGGGTATTAAGGGGGCTATTTCCCCCCTCTCCCAATATTTCGTGAAGACTGCCTTTTTCCATTCAAATCCCTTTTTTCAACGGGCTACCCCCATAACTTGTAAAGAGTGCCCTTTTCTTCTGAACAAGTGCCCTTTAAAAAAAAAGAAGTGGTGTCCCTTTTTGTGTCATCTGCCGTTTTGGGTGCCTTTTTACTGAATTTCGCACATGTATCGCCCTGAAAAGCACATAATGGCCGTTTGTGTGCCTAATCGTCGGTTTTGAACAGCGCCCCCATCAACAGATGGTACCAGCCCCTCCCCCCCCCCCCCCCCCCCAATTTTACGAAAATTTCTTTACAGTGTCAATGTCAATTGCAGAAAGACGAGAGAGCTTACCATCTTCTATACTTCATTGACTTTACAGATGGGGTCGAGAATATCGTAGGCATTTACAACAACATCGAAGACGAGATCACGTGGAACAGACCCACTGAAGAGCTGTGGTATTACAGTGGTAAGAAGAGTCTTCAAAAATACTTTCCCCTGCTATTTTCGAGTTTCACCTGGAAAAAAATGTTGTAGATTGTTATTTGTTCGCATTACAAATGTTATCCACTCTTGACATCGAACCAAAAATCAATCCACGTTTAGTTATGGAATCAAATGATATATTTGCAGCCACACAGTAATTCAAACGTACCTTTTGCGCGTAGCAGTCGCAAAGGCAAACACCCCCCCCCCGCAAAATAAATTAACAAATAAATAAATAGATACATTAAATGAAAAAAGCCAACTGAAAGCTCAACCAAATAGTGCACAGCTATTATGTCTGTGATTATCATGGTCAGTGAATATAGCGCCACCAAGAGTCACAGTAGCAATGAACTGGTTTAGGGGTGCACTCCACCAAAATGTGTACATTCCTACGCGCGAGCTCAGTAGTATTCTGTAATTCTTAGGCAATTTTGAAGAAGAGGTCCTTTCGACCTCTACTTGGGACAGATTGTAGAAATGTTTAGGGAGATCAAGCATGAGCAAGCTAGTCAAGTTCTCCTCTGGAATCCTGAAGCCCCTCCACGAAAAGGTCGTCCCAACATGACCCTGAAAACATCCATCGAGCTAGAAACTGGTCTGAGTGGTCCATCTCTTTCCACCACTATGCTCGACAGGGACATTTGGGCCCAACTCATCAAGTCATTATGAAAATGAATGAATGAAGAAGAGAAGCATTTGTGGCTTCGAACTCGGGGGAGTTTGTTCAGAATAAGTCTGGAACTATGTGTAGCATAGAGGCGGGGCGCTGCCGTTATACATCTAGACCCGCGCTAGAGAAAGCGAACGTTTAAGGAATGGTTTAGGGGAGGGGAATATAAAAAAACTCAAAGTGGCTATCTCTGACAAAAGTGAAATTAAAATTCTCCTGGCGGTCGTAATCTTTCATTTTCAGTGAGTAACCAACCACCGCCTTCCTCCTGAGTGCCACCAAGTCGCGTTTTTTTGTATCCGATTGTGTGTTTTGTTTTTCTATTAGCGCATATCTAGTGGAGTACGGAACCTTTGGTAGGTTTGTCTCCGTGTTGACTAAAATCCTTCACGGTTGTGACCACAATTTAGGTAGCACGCCCTCTTTTGAACGAAAATTAAAGTTGACTTCAGTTCAGCGGGAATTTCTCCGTGTGGACAAAATTTCTTCACGGTGGTGACCACTTTTCCTGGAGCGCGTCCTGTTTCGAAAGAAATATTTTACTTTCCTTTACAAAATCATTTATTCTTTGTTTACGAATCTATTCCCCCCCCCCCAAATAACATAATTTTGGGATTTTTTTTCCAAAGTGTAATTTTGTCAACTCTTTATTTGTTACCATAATATGTTTTATAAAGTACAGGGCCCCGAGGGGGAACAATTCAGTGAAAAATGATGGGGCTAACCTGGTAAAATAACAAGTAATAACAAAAAAAATAAGTATGCACTTCTCTAAGCTTATTTGATCGAGCTATTGTTTCAACAACTCTTTGTTTCTGAAGCGTAATGCTATTCGAATCTTTGTTTGAGTGATTTCACATTATGCGAATCGTATATTTTCTGTATCATGATAATTTTGAGCCTTTCTTGCTTTTTAAGGAGCAACAGTTTGTGTCCAAGCACTGATTATCCTGTAATACACTTTCTTCACAACATTTCTAAATTATTGAATGGAAGTGAATCTTTTTTTTTTATTGCAAAGACGGGAAGCCGCCATTCGATTCCGATATAACCAAGACCATTGAGCTTCTACAGAGTATACCGATTAGCGTCCTGGCTACCGTGAGCGTGTTAGCGGCCCTGGGGATGGTTCTGGGGGTGATGTTTCTAGTGTTCAACATCTGGAAGCGCAACAACAGGTTAGTTTTCCAGTTAGCCCTCGTTTATAAATAGGCTGTCATAACCTGCTGCATGTATATTCATTCAATGCTTTATTGATTATAACCAAACAGCTCCATCTCTGATATTCACGTTTTGTTACATATATGGCGCTTCTCAGTACACATGTCATTCGTCAGCTGTTAAATGAATATCTGTTGACGTAATAAGACAGAATCTCTTGTGAGTGTATATAAACTGCGAAGTTACTAAATATACACTTCCATTTTGTTCATATTACACAGTGGTACTTTGCAGCACGTTGGGTATTTAGTCTAATCACCCAACAATGTTCCTGAGCCTGTTTGGGGTGTAGTCTTATCTCAAAGGATTGGAAACAACTGCCACTGAAAGTTTATTGCCGGTTATAGTGACAGGGTGATTGATTATGCCTGCCCTGCCTAGCTCAAGGCCGAGTACCCAGATAGTTGTAAATACACATAGATGGTTCTTGTTACTGGAGCTGGTGCCTGGCTAGGAAATTCTAGGTGCATTGTTCAACCGGGGCTTGTGCATGTTATCTTTCTATGCTTTAATGAGAAAGTTGTGAAACGTGATTCTTTTTTGACTCAGAAATTTCGGAGTAATAAAAAAGTTACGCAAAACGTACTGCAAAAAAATAGTATTGTCTCTGGAGCGACGGTTCAATCGTGTAATCCAAAGTTATGAATTTCCGAAGCAATCGATGTTTACATCGGATAAATTCATCTTTGTAACCTTGTGCAGAAACACTAAATGGCGCTATGTGATAAAGGACACAGTCCGTGCGCAAGCTGGTTCGGGCATGCTCCTATGGCGTGCTCATTGCGTATACACGACACATTTAAAATGGAAGTTGGCTACAAGGCCGTAGTCGTTTGCGCTCGACGAGCCACATGTGAACATGGGCACGTGCTGCATGGTCCCTCATTTGTCCTGATTTAATCAATGTAATGGAAAAGGAAATGTTCATTCAAATTGCAATTTGAGACATTTTGCCGAGGACGATAACAAATTCTCAGATACAGCATGCAGATTGTCTTAGAACTTTTGGAGGTGAATCGTACAATGTTAACCGAACATTTGTCATAAAGATTTGACGTTAATCTCGGAAGAACTGCAGGCGATATATTTTTTTGAAACAAAAAATCTTTCTTCTTAGGCAAATCAAGATGTCCAGCCCGAAAGTAAACAACATCATCGCCACTGGTATCCTGCTGGCATACCTCGGTGTGGTGCTGCTAGGCATCGATAGGTCTATGGTAGAGGAGACGTCGCTGCTTACCATTTGCAGGGTGAGGATGCTCCTACATTTGAAGCCATTGTACGATCAATTGCTTTTCGTGCATTTGGTTTGTTTCCACTTAAACACCCCTCAAAACCCAAAAGAGAATGTCCAAAACCCTTACCTATTGAAGTTTCAGCTCAGTGGATATTACACTTTTCGCGAAAACAGTGAAAACACGCACAATCTTTTGATCATGAAACCCGATTTTGTCTATAGATCACTCTTTATTCCCACAGAAGTCAATAGACTAATTGTTGGAAAACACCTACATTTCTTGATTTCTTCTAAATGACAGCAAGGCAGACGAAATAATTTCACCTTGTTTTTAGGATCAGTACGATCTTTAATCCAAGTAAGCTTTTTGATAGTAATTCTGTAGGTTAGTTGTTGGATCACAAATGCAAATAGTCATACTTGCCTAACCTTTTCATGACCGATTTTGGTTTTTTTTCGGCAATGGGAATGAGCACACCGGGACCCGCCGTAATTTGAATTATTCCTCGATCGATTTTTTTACAATTCAGGAGGAATGTTAGTTCGCATTTTTTTCATACTGGCGAATGGGTGACACCGCGTTTTTGTTCCATACTGGCGAAGGGGTAACAAAATTGTAATACCTGTTTGCCGGTATGGAAGGGTCGCGGTGCAACCTGTTCGCCAGTATGTTAAAACAACGCGACGATATGTTGCATCGTGACGTCACTGTATTTTGCTTTCGCCACAACACGAGTTCCTTGACTATTTTTGCTTTTTTTTCTACAGTCCAAAACAGTGTTTGTGGCATAATCGCTTCACTTGTTTTGAGGCATGTATTGACCCCGATAAAAGTTGTTGAACGCCAGCAACTTCATTTCATTCGACCGACACCTTCCAAAGATATCATTAGCAGAATTAGAATCTGACAGATGACTAAATGCTATCGCTTCATGGCGCACTCCTGCATTGTAAATGACTTCCGATACCTGAGCTGAGAGATTCTGCTCAGACGAATGATAAACCTCATGTCCTATATTGGCACTTTTCGGTTTCAGGTTCGTTCCTGGATCATTCCCATTTCCTTCACTCTTGCATTTGGAGGAATGTTCACCAAGATGTGGAGGGTGTATAGCATCGTCATTGCCAACAAAACTAAGAGAAAGGTACTTAATTGAGAACTTTATAAAGTTGTTGACTTTTATGTAGTGGCACGTAGTTTTTCCAGATATCTCGGGAGGTGATTCTTATAAGTCAGCTAGGTATGTGTACTAGCAAAGCTCATAAATATTCATGAATAACTTAGACGGTAGCCATTTCTAATGGATACAGGAGTCAGCCACGTGACGCACCTCAAACGTAAATTTTAAGACCGTCGATACATTACACCAAAATGTACGGACAAAAAAAGCTTGCCAAAACGCATTTCTTTAATCCTATGAAATATTGTAAGGGTCTGGAAAATATGCCGAATTCGCCAACAGCCTTCTCCAAATGTGGACAGTGTTTGGCTTTACGCTCACATGCCATTGCTAGGCCTTTGTGATGCCAGTCTTGTTTAACTTTTACTTTTTTTTCCCTCTGATTTCCTGTTTCGTGATTTTTAAGGTGATCAAGGACTACTATCTCTTTGGTATCATCGCCGTTCTGCTGTTGGCAGACTTGGCCATTCTCATCCCCTGGCAGATCATCGATCCAATACAGATCAAGGAGAACAGAGTACCTATACCTCAGGTATGAACGGTTTCCCATATTTCACTGCATTTACCAGCCGTTACTGTAGAGAACCACTAATGAGGGCGCTTTAAAAGTACCAAACGGCGCCCTCAAGGTTTCAAGGTGTTAGGTACGAGTCGAGAACTGTATCACAAAGAATGACTACACTACCGATGTTTGCAATGTCATGTACTCTTGTAAGACAATGTAAGACTCTTGAAAAATGTGAAAATTCTTATAGAGTATAATTATCTTAACACGTTGAAATGCTCTATCGCATGCAGGCCTATTTCATGCTTAGATACATTGTAGTTACCGACTTTTTTTCCTCGTTGTTTCACGCAGACCGAAGACGATCTCACACGTCACGAGAAACGCGAAAAGCTGTACGTGAACTGCACGTCCAATAACAACACCATATGGACTCTGGTGATCATAATCTACAAAGCGTTCGTTGTCGTCTTCGGTGCCTTTCTGGCGTGGTCCACAAGGTAAACGAACACTGTGCTACTTACCTAATTTCCCTCTCAATGGGTGACGTTTGAGACTCGTGGGGGCAGCAAACACATCGGTCCTTTTCTATTGTTTGCGAAATTTTGAACAGGCGTACGTTAGATTTTCAGGGTCAGTAGTCCGACTCTGGTTAAAAGTGCTCTCACCACTTTATTTGGCTTTGTTTGAATGGAGGAACTTGTGAAATATTCAAATGTTGACCAACAATTGTTGGAGTAATTAAGCAAACGGACTACGCTTTTTAATACCATGCCTATACCCGGGAAACTTAAACATCTTCGCAAACGATAAAAAGGCCGGTGTGTTTGCAACCAATAAAAGCAACTGAAAACGTTTTCCATTGACCACTGGGGTCGTTACTGCAGGTGCACACGTGTAGATATGCATGGATCATTTACGGCGCAAGCTAGTTTTTTAAACTTAATTAACATGCATTTTCTTCACATTTTTGTTAATGGAAGAGACAAGCATTTATCAGCGCTTTTGGATGTGGCGGTGGATAAAAGCAAACATAGGGCAAGTCCGCGCAAGAACTATTGTTGACCATTGGTTAACCATAGTTCGACTAAAGTTAGCCCGAACTCTGTCTAGTCGACGGTGGTTGACTACGCTAGTCATCTATTTCGAACCAGCATACTGGGACTGATTGCATCGCTGGTAACCAATAGCCGCGTACATTCATAACGTACAGCAGGGAACCAGGATCCAGACGTTTTGCGATGACATTTGACCAGCGTTTGACTAGAGAGGTTCTCACGTTGTTATTAGTCCGCAGGCGTAAGGAACGTAACAAATCAACCACTGGTCGACTAATGGTCCTTGCCCGAACTTGGCACTTGTTCTAGAGGTCTTGCTGTTTTATGTTTAGGACGCCCTCTTTGATTATCAAATACGCCAGCGTTCGAAAGACTTTGATTTTTTTTTCTCAGTTAAAACTTGGCATTTGCAGCGTTGGCGGGTAGGCTAAGCTTACTTTCTATAGCATTATTTCAGAATGCTCATCGAAAGCTGTGTGCAGCAAATTATGTATTGATAATTCACCATAATATAACAATAATTGGATATAAAGAGCGCCAAATTGCCAAAGGATACAAGGCGCTGTAACAAAGAAATGAAAAAGGGGAAAGAAGACAAGACAAGCAAACTACGGTTTGGGAAATAGATGTGTCTTGAGAGAGAGCCTTTTTGAAGGACAAAATACTGCTTGAATGTCTGATGGGGATGGGTAGGCTATTCAATAACTGGGGGCGGCAATAGAATGCCCTGTCACCAGCCTGTTTACGTGACCTGTGGATGACAAGGGACTCTCCAGCAGAAGAACGAAGGGAGTAAGGATGGGTCTGGATTATGAGAAGAGAGGAGGTATAATCTGGTGCAGAGTGTTTCAGTGATTTAAAGTGTGAATCAATGTGTGGAACTGAATGCGTTGGGTGACTGGGGGCCAGTATAATTATTGTTTGAGCAGGCGATAGAGGGTTTGGGTGTGTTTTGGGCTTCTGAAAGATACGCCTTGCACATCTGTTTTGGAGTCTCTGAAGACGAGACACGTCTTTCTTAGAGACACTGTTTCGCAGACAGCAGCAGTAGCCCTGACAGAATTAGGGCACTGACAGCATTGGTGCAAGCATAAATGATGGAAGTAATCCTACCAGAGAAAACAAATGAAGGAAGTTCACGTGAAGAATAGACTGCGCAGCACCGATATCATATTAAGATGATGGAATGTAAGTCAGATAAGAGAGTAAATCAAGCATGCTTATCTATCAACGCTGACTACAAGACCTTCTTTTGATTCATCTTGTTTTCGTACAGGAATGTCAAAGTGTCCGGCTTGAACGATAGTTACTACGTGGGTCTATCCATCTACAACACCGTCATTTGTTGCATGGTAGCCGTCTCGCTATCCTTCCTGAACACCTCCTCAATCGTCGTGACCTTTGCTCTAGTCTCCGGTTTCCTTCTGCTCTGTATTACTATATCCCTCTGCATGCTCTTCTTTCCTAAGGTGAGTGGGCCACTGATCTCGATATTGGAGATGGGCGTGAGTGCTTCTTAAATGAATGTATGATTTGCAGCGGCGGCTGAACAGTTTTAATATGAGGGGGGGGGGCACCTGCGAACCAAAAAGCGGTCAGTCTCGGCATAAAGTAGGGGTGGGGGAATTGCTGCCGTTTCAAAGGTGGGGTTGAGGGGGGGGGGGGGTATTAGCCCCTAGGTCCCCCGGTTCTGCCACCCCTGATCATTGGCGTTTATCCCAAAAGCAACCTACCACATTACTATCAAAATGCTTACTTGCATTTATTAATAATAAACACACCTTATTGATAATTCCATAAAGACATGTTTACCTTGACACCTGTTGTCTGAGAAACGAATAATTAATTTACTTGATAGCAGTTGTCACAGCAAATATGAAGGTAAATCTAAAGCTGAGTTAAAAAGTGGGAAAAGTATCCTAAACATTCCTGTGCATTTTTTTTATTCCAGGTAATCGCTGTGTATCGCAAGAATGAAGTAGCCGACGAAAACTTCACAGGGATCAGAGTAGGCACGACCATGGTGCCCACGATGGCTCACAAGCCGCGTGCGCTAGGCGGGGATATGCCCACTACCAGCGCTCACAATGGCGAGTTTAAAACCGCCACCACTGATGGATCCAATCCAAAATAGGCTCATCGAATGGGGGCGCTGTATTACGACGCCGTTCGTGGATAACAGCGAGACGTGATTTCAAGTGAAGTGCATTTAAGCTCATTAGTTTATGGGAAAGACGTTTGCAAGACCAGCATCTGTGATGTGCGTGCAGATTTGGCGATCAATATTATGCAAAACAACTGCGTCTTGACCTCCAGATTCTGACCATTCAGTGGGCGCCTTCTATCGTGTCTTCGGTAACCCGATGACGTATGAGAAACACTTGGTGTATGCAAGCAGGCCTATGACCAGTTAACATCATTGGCCACTCTTTTACGCCACGATTTGGAAATGCGGCTGCGATGGGCTGGCGGGCGAGGTCGCATACAATTTGCGTGCTCGGATATACATGTATCCGCACAGCTATAACTTCATATGAAGCGCACATGATATTTGAAAACACGTATGGATGAAGTGCGCCCTCAGTGACAGCTTAAACGGACTGTGAATTAATCGAGGGAGGTAAAGTTTTAATATTGCCTAAGTTTGTGGAGCTTGTGCAGACCCGAGGAGAGTGTATATTATATGAGGTCTGATATTGTTCTTGTTATACAATCCCCTAAATTAATGTGTCCTTGCCGCTTGATATAATCCGTTCTTGATGCCCAGAAAAGTAAAAGTATAGTTGTTACGTTCGTTTCAAATCGTTTATTTATGACACATTTGGATATAGGTTATTTTCTTTATTAGAAATGTAAGTTTCCCGTAGATCTGATTTTATAAACGATTTTATGGAATTATTTTTAGTTACTTAACTCCAGACACGAGGATGTTTTAACATTTTACCATAACAAAGCTCGTACTGACGCGTACAAATACTGTGGGGTAGTTCGTTTTCCTAATTGCTTTTCCGAGTCTTGTGAAAGAGTCTCTTAAACTATTCGGAGGTCGGGGTTGTGGAGAGTTTTAATAATTTTCATTTTTTAATTAATGTGTCCCGTGTTGTATATGTAGGTAATTTTTATCAGCCCTTTTTATCAGCTCTTTTTATCGGTCCTTTTTACCTGGATAGGAATCCCACTTGTCTTTTAGTCCTGTTAATACAGTTCTGTGGGTGGCCATAGTCATGGATTTAAAGAAAAAATGGGGGACCTCCCAATATTTTCCTTTTTTAAAATTATTTTTTATTACTTTATTTTTTTTTTCATTTATTTTATCAATATCGATTTTTGTCTGAACCTTTGTGTGTTACCTTGATTGTAATCAGGGGTATGGATGAATACATTGTCGGATGACAGTTTTTATTCATCTGTTCATTCCTTGACAGCCCCTGCTTAATGTTTGATTGTAACCTTAACTTAAGATTTAAAATAAATAAAATAAATATATGTTGACACTGTGAAACTTAGAATAATGTAATAATATAATCAATATTGGTTTAACTTGAACTGTTTATGAAAATGTTATTGTAAATTAATATATTGTTATCATTCCTAGCCATGAATATATTTTTACAAAATGAACAATTTCCAATTAAAGCCTTTGAAGACTAGCTTGGAAATATGGACATGAAGTTGTCAAGGGCGGATCCAGAGGGCCATACCCCCCCCCCCCAAAAAAAAACCGAACCCAATTTGTTTTTAAAGTGACGTCGCAATAAAGGCAGGCACTGCGTACACCACCATCTTTTCCTAACAAAAATGGTCAAAGTGATCAGAAATTGCCTCAGATCGCACCACAGAGCATCTAGAATCTCTGAACACCATGCCGAAATTTATGGGCCCCACGTTTTCGGCAACCAAAACATTTTTTGGCCCCCCCCCCCCCAGTAAAAGTTGTGTTCTGGATCCGCTTTTGGAAGCTGTCGGTAAACAGGTAATGTTGGGACGGAAAGACAAAAGTAACATTTCTGATTTCTACCGTACTTCAACTCACCTGTATATATATTTTTTTTGCAAAGATGCAACAACGAATAAATTATGGACACAAGGCACGGACGGTAGATGGCGCTTTTTGTGAGCTCTACTCTTGGAAATGGAAACAAGGTTGAAAAAATGCAAGTGCCCCCCCCCCCAGTTGTCTCTCCAAAATCTCCATTTGTGACCGCTGAGGGGGTACTCGTGCATGAAGTTCATAGCTCCCTGTCTGTTACACTTATAATGCCTTGAGCATTTTTGTAAATAAGTATTTGTATCAGAATGTCTTAAAAAAAAAAACCATTGAAATGTTGTAAATAATGGTGAAGTTTCTTTCTAGCTGAACTGCAGGAGGACAGCCGTTTCACCAATTAACATTTCACTCTATCTTGACCTGTATGTGGCCATGCAATGCCATTATATCACCATTATATCACCACTCCACAATCGTTTGTTTTGTCGGGGTCCGCTCATAAGTCCGACGCCTCATAGGTCGGACGTGTCATAAGTCCGACAAAATCGCATCCCCTAACCAAATAAAGGACCATAAGTCCGACGCCTCATAGGTCCGACGACTCATAGGTCCGACGCCTCATAGCTCCGACGCCTCATAGCTCCAACGCCTCGTAGGTCCGACAAATTAAACGCCTCGTTTTTCCGATGTCGGACTTATGAGGCGTCGGACCTATGGGGCGGAATAAATACATGTTATGCCTCATAAGCCCGACGCCTCATAAGTCCGAAATTTCGGACATATGGCGTCGGACCTATGAGGAGTCGAACTTATGATACGGCCCAGTTTTGTCTCCCTCTTTTTCTGATTTGGTTTCTTTGAGTCCAATTGGTTGTTCTGTATTTCCGCCGGTTGTCATACCTCCTTGCAAGGTGACCTGCCCACCTCCACTTCTTTGAATAATGGTATTAATAATGTCCTCAACTCCTGATTTCTTTCTTAGATTCTCATTTGTCACCCTGTCCTTCTTTGTTACTCCTATCATTATTCTTTCCATAGCCCTCTCTATCACCTTTAGTTTTTTTTCTAGACGTTTGGTGGTAGTCCATGTCTCGGCACCATACGATAGACACGTAAGATGCACTGGTCGAATACCTGCCTTTTCAGGGATAAAGGAAGGGTATGGTTTCGAAAACGTGGCTGAGTGTGCCAAGCTAGAAGTATTGTCTAGTATGTAAAACAAGTATTCTTCCACCAGGAGCGATGTTGTTTTGCCTGTAAAATCGAGTCATCGAAAGTAAACTATACATTAAGTAAAAAGCGCCTTTCTATGAGCATGACGTGGTTTGCTCCATATTGACCCCCCAAAAATCTGTTTGTTAAAAAATGACGCAGCGGTTAAAATAAAGAGCCTGCGTACGTCCATTGTTGCAAACGATAAAAAAAAGGAAAATGTAAAATGTACGTTGAGCAAAATGTGTTGGCCCAGAATAGCACTAAATACCAGATGCCCATTTCAACGATAACAACGTACCGTCTTTGCATAAAAAATTACTATGAGCCAAAACCAAACTTAGAATGATAGGCAATTTACATTAAACAAAACCAGAAGTGCATTTTGTAAAGTATAACATTGCTGTTGAGAAGAAGCTTACCTTCCGTTGTAATTTTTCTTCCGAGCATAAAAATCTTTCAGGAAAATAGCATTTCCCTTTCTTTGAATGAAAATGTCATGTAACTGTTTCCGTCGGCAATGTACTTTTAAACCTCCGAAACCAATGGTTAACAAGCGGGGTTTTTTGCATGCTTTTCATTGAGGACGTATTACAAAATGTGTGACGTCCGCCCTACCCGTCCACCCACGTGACACCTACGTCATCACATGACGTCACAGTCCCCGCCAATCAAATAATTTCTCTTTTTTTTATGTAAAATAACCGCGTCTTGAACCTCCGCGCACCTTTTAGCATATGCTTAGTGTTAATGGGCATGTGAGGGATATAGGGCAGAAAGTGTCTAAACAAAAGTATTGTCTGGCAAAACTAGGTGTTCGGTTGAAATTATCTCTGCGAATCGTGTTAAACAAGCACGTCGGAGCTTGATACACTGTCAGTGATTGCAAGGTAATAAAATGGCACTAACTAGGCAGACTGCACTGACCAACAGCTGAATGTATTTAATTCAATTCTGCAATCAACGTCATTGTTAGTGAAAACATCGCTCAAGAAGCGAGGAACTCTGTCCTGTGAAATATACTTTATAACGAGAGAAAAGGCTTATAAGCCATCGTGAACGTTAATTACACAAAGACGAATACCAAACTACCGAGGACAACTATATGTTAATATTGGGTTTTCATCTTCTCTTAATTGTTTTATACATACCGTAAAGAAATTGCGATATTTTTTTTCAAGCTTACTCGGATGGGACTCGCACCCTCGATATCCTGCTTACTAAGGAAGACGTCTCACAACTCGACCACCGAGCTTGGCTAGCTGGCTCGAGTTTGATGCAGCACGGGTACTGCAACCAAACGGGTACACACCTTCCGACACACCTATGTTCCGACACCCCTATGTTCCGACTGTAATTCATTACTCATATCCCTAACCCTAAGCGGCAGTAACACAATCTAACATGGGGATTGTCGGAACATAGGGGCGTCGGAACACAGAGCAGTCACCAACCGAACGTTTTATAACATGGAATGTGCGTCGGGGAGTTGAACATTCTTACATTGGGTTTTGCCCTTCGCCAAAGTATTTAAGACACACTGTATTCTCAGTATAAATACGTCTGCGAAGAATTCCATCTCATAAAAAGATACAAAGTCTGGTGCACCTGTATGTTTAAATATATTGGATCGAATAAAAATAAATGTAACTTTTGATTTTACAGTGATATATTATGTACAGTTGTCCCTATACGAAAACCTTTCATAATAACATTTCCAGAAAGCAAGTGTTTTCTTTATGCCGATGTAACCTTGGCTGTTAAGAGTAAAAAAAATAAGTGGGAAGAGAACTCGGCGACTCGGCTTTCTGTTTTTTTGTTGTTGGCCGGTTTATTCTGGATAAACTGGATAAGGAAGGAAAATAATGAAATGGTCTTTCCTCGTCTCTGCATGGTCAGCATAGCAATTACGCTATCGCGGGTCCTGTTGACTACGGCTATTCTGATTGGCCGTGGGTGATTTTAATAATAATGGATATTTTTAATTAAATAAGAAAAAGAGTACTTCAGGAGAAACGAGAAAACTAAGGGGGACCTTTGTCAGACATGTGACACCAGTATACAAACTACACTTTAAGAAAGTGTATTGTGTGCTCTTTTGAACCCAATGGCACAATCAATGATGTCGTGTCGTTAAACATTGCTGAAGAAAATATTTGTTTTCTCTCTACAAAAATACCCAATATAACTAAAACGGCGTAGTACTTTTCCAGTGTTTGCATTAATCTTGTCCTGAAAACATCCAGTATAAGCAAATATTAAACCACAAGCAGTTAAGAATCGACGTTAACGACCGCTCATTTTGGACGATGACAATTTTTTCAAAGAAATAGTAGTTTCCAACTCGAGTGTGAAACTCATTTACTCAGCTGCTTTATGGAATTTGTTTTTATGTTCGATGAGTCTGTACTTTAGACACTTCATCAACATTGGTAGTTAGCTTTCAAAAAGGAAATGACGCATATCACGGCTTCAAAAGGGCACACTACTTGAAATAAAACTTGTTATTATTGAAAAATATCTGATCTTCCAAAGTTACAACATTTTCATCAGATTTTGAATGACGAAAATGAACATGTTGCTCTCTTCAAAACAAGTTGATGATATCAAGTAATCAATTTACAAACTGGTAACGTAAGTGCTGTTGCTGCTTCTGTTAAGCAAAAAAAAATATAAAAAGTACCGAACGTCAGAGTGGCTAAATCCGCCCACGTGATTATTAAGTCCTTTTCCCCTCACGGGGAAAATTCCCTGGATTGGATAGATGAGGATTTCGCGACTAGGGGCGGGCTAATATCTCCTATACGCCGTGAGTGGACCAATAGGGCGTGTACAGAACGCAGTTATATAAGCCGGGTAAAGTAGACGGGCACCACTAGAATTGACCGGAGCCGTGTGGTACTCTACCTCCCTATAGAACACCGAATGCAACATCTCTCCATTGTTGTCGCTGTCTGCAAGTTTCTGCCAGTACTACAGTTTATTTTTTTCTCATCCGAGTTTCAAGGGAGCTACTAGGAAAAAGAAGAGGGTGATTCCACCTAAGAAAGGTTAGTAACAGTTTTCTTTAGTTGGTAGAAAATGATATCAATACCACAAGAAACATGATGTTTACATACGCTGGTATAGACCAGAGTGGCCCAATCCACTGCAAAAACCTGTCTTGGAGCTGTGGACTGATTTTGAAAAATACTAGATATGTTCGTCTATTGTAGAAAAGCATCCAAATTAATTATGTTGTATAACTAGATATTTTATACTGTTTTCGCTGTGACGAACGCATTGTGTAAATTCATATTGCATTGCATGAAATTTAAGAGCGGTCTGGACAAAGACAATTTGATCTTGGCATCCTATGTTCTGGAATTGCATTGGAAAATTAGGGTATTAAATCCAAGCTACATCGTGCCAAAACCCCGACCTCTATCGCAGCTATTCCCTTTAGGCCTTCATGAATGATTGTAAAGATAAACCCTTAGACAAAGGATTCTATCAAATCGGTGGACTTTTGTTCAAACAACAATGGAAACGTATTCACACGAATTGTGCCCTTTTTCATATGATCACGATGCTTCGTAGGCTTAAATATAATTGACCGTGCTCCATTCGGTTTGAAACGATGAAAGAAATAGTCGATGTGCCGTATTGTTAACGAAGGATGTTTTCAATGCCTTATTGGCTGAGCTAGAACTTAGAGCAAGATGCACGCTTCTGTGCAGATGTGTGTCAGCAGAAGTTTTTTAAAGGCATACAAGATCATTTGCATTCATCCCAAAAGTAACCTACCAAATTATTATCGAAAAGCTTACCTGGATTAAAGATCGTACTGGTACTTAACAGCCCGTGAATTCATTCCACCTGGCTTGCTGTCATTTGGAAAAATCGAGAAATATAGTTGATTTCCAACGATCAGTCTATTGTTTGAGTATTGGGGAATAGAGAGTGCGGCTAGACGAAATCGTGTTTCGTGACCAAAGGTTGTGCATTGGTTTTTCATTTGTGTTCTCGGAAAAGTGTCCGTCCACTGACATGAAACTTCAACAGGTTGGGTTTTGAATATTCGTCTTGGAGTAGTGCTATTATTGAAAACGTTCAAATGCATCAAAAGCAATGATCCTATACGGATTAAGGAAAAGGTCCTATTCATGTTTAGCGACGGGAAATCATTACAGCTACTACAACTAGATTTGTTTTCACTTTATAAAATCGAGACTACCCAATCGTTTGCCCTATTTTATTTGAAAGACAAAAATAAGTTTTTATGATTCACAAATCCCTAAAACGTGACTTAAATGTGGGGAACAAGTCAGAATTTGAGAAATTTTTATTTAGTTACTTTTGTTTGAAAAAGTATAACCGTATTAATCGTGCGCTGACTATTCGAAAATGAACGTAATCTTCAGTTGTTTTTCTAGGTCTAGTAATAATTGTTCTTCCACAAATAAACTCCCTTTTTTCCCTGCAAAATTGACATGCAACATTTAAAAATACATGTTGATATTATTTTGTTACCACGGCAACAAGAGACCTACTCGTGTAAACATCTAACAAGAAAACAGTGTAGGCTTTTTTTTTCAAACGGTATGCAGGTTGGCACCGTTCAATAGTACAGTTTTATTCCCACGACAACTGCTGACTTTCACCCAAGCTCTCGCGTCCATTTTACCGCGAGGATATTTCGCACTCCAGGGTTTCGGTCGGCCTTGGGCGATTTTTATCGAACTTTCGGCGGCATAAAATTGCGGGTAGGTAGGAAAATCGATAATGTCTTGGTCTTGAGTAATTATTCCTCAATTAGGTGCACAGCCAAGCTTAACACTGCTCTTATGAGCAGAGTCTGCCCAATATCCCCCTGCTTGGTGAGAAAATGACGCTTGCTTTGCGAAATAAACGATCAGTAAAGACCGACGTAGTTTTTTTGACATCGTTGGGAAGTAGGCTATTGGGCGGGGCTATTTTTTTTCTGATGCGTGGGCAATCGTACATATATGCATCTTGAATTGAGTTTCAAGAAAAAAACAATATTTTTTTCGAGTAGATGTTTGCAATCCCTATTTAAAAATAAAAGGGAGTGGAGCAGAGATGTAAGTTTTTCTTTGGAAGAAATATACCGAACTATTTCGTTATCTTCTAAAGCAAACTGCCGGTTTAGCTAGCAAACCTGTTTTTTAGAGGATAATTAGGCCAAAAAAGTCTTCGGCTCCTGGTATGGAGCTTGCCCCAAAAGTGGTGCGGCGACGCGGCTTTTTTTTTACTTTTTTTTTTCTTCTTCAAATGTCGGCTGATGACTGCAAATGGTCCCCGACTAAATTTAGTGCAAAATGTATGGGAGCCCAGAGAGGCCACATATCGAGCTTATACTTGATCGTAACCCCATCTAAACACACGTTAAAATTGTGCAGCAGCAGGATTCCGGTCAAACCAATGAATTTGGCAGTTTTGAGACATCATCTTACATTAATAAAAAAACGTTTTGAGTTTGATGACGCGCATGGCTACGGCGACGCGCGCGCAGACCAGAAACCGAAGCTTTGTTGGGCCTTAGCCTACTCTTTTTATTATAGGGTAGCCCCTTCCTTTGAAAATATCATCGTTTGTAACAGATTGGAAAATGTCGGTTAAAAATCACTTTAAAGTGTTTTGGTTCTGGTGAAGTAGCGTTTGGGGGTGATGTGACAAGTATGTCACATACAATTGTATTGTATTGTATTGTATTGTGACATACTTGAGGTCTGGGTCTATGTTTAAAGACACGTAGGAAAATTTGCAATTACCCGGATACGTACCTACTGATTAAGCGAGAAAATAAATCTTTGCTCAAAGTGAAGATAGGACTGGTACCAAATACCCTGTGAAATTATTCCACCTGAAATGGTATCATTCGGAAAAAAGCAATCATTGGAGGTGGTTCAAGAAGTGTTCACGCGGGCACAGTTTTTTTACGTGCGTTAAGTACAGAATTCAGTTTTGAGACCCAAAAAATGGTGCATACTTTTTCACTGTATCATCAAAATGTTTGCTATCCATTGAAAATCAACAAGTTAGCTGTTATTCACTCTTCTTAAGCTTCTTAAAATTTTGAGCAATTTTGTTGTTTTAAATGAATAAAAATGCTCTCACACAAAAGAAATGATCCTTTTTACCTTTAAGATATTTGCCATCTCTGTAGTTTTGCTGTGAACATGTACTGATTGTATTTAGAAGGCTTGATTTTATTTTATTTACATGCTGGTCCAAACAATGAAAACAGGGCGAAAAGAAACCAAAATTATGATTAATCTGACCAGTTTCACCTTTAATGTTTACAATTCATGGAGCCACTTTCCGACCAATGCCACGCAGCGTGCACCCGACATCCGCTTCGAGCGGTCCGCGGACGTAGAGTCGTAAATGGTCCGTGAACATTCGGCTTCTAATTGGCTGTTTCATGTTTCGCCGCGCGCGCCATTATGTCATTTGTGAACAGGTGTTTTCGAAGACACAAAGCTAGCTCGCGACACAAAGGAATGTTAATACACTGACCTGGTTAAAGTAACAAGATGTTATTTTTTCTTTTGGTCTTTGCGGATGTATTGCGGACGTCATGTTAACCCTTGTTTTGTTTGCTGATCTGCATGTAAAAAAAAACCTGGATAGCTGATTGGCCATTCTGAGATGTTACAAACAAGTGAAGCTGCGCACTGGTTCCCGATCCTCCATTGGAATGTGGGGAGGGAACCAGTTTCAACCACCCCATTTCTCAAACTAATTAAACTAGAGTCGTCTGAAAGTATGACAAAAACATTCTAAGCAGAAATGTTCTATTAATATAATATTTGTTTTCATATTGTTTTTTTTTTGTAAAAAAAAACCCAAAATATTTCGTTGAGTGAACAGTGTACATGTCAATGAAATTAGATAATTTTCTTTACAAATCTATTGTTCTTGGAGTGGTAATAATATAATATGGCAGATAGTGACGTCACTTCTAACATCCAATGGGCTATCCAGATTTTTAAACGGAGATCAGTGAACTTACCAAAATGACGATATCAGACAGGTATTTATCTTTAAATCGTGTAGGGCCTACATGTTTTAACCTCAGCTCAGTTTACTTTGTTATTTTAAATAATTCCTAAATTGAGTGAGAAATAGAAAAAAAATCACGCTCTGATATACTGTTTTACTGTAAAAGTAACAAAATATCAAAATTCGGGGATATTCTGACGCAAAGCTTTATTTTGAACAGCGGCAAGCATAAGAAGGTGAAGAAAGGTGAAGAACATGACATACTTAAATGCATATTGGATCGTTTGCTTTTCATGCATTTTGCTCGTTTCCAGTGATAACACCACTCAAAATCCAAAGACGAAAGTTCAAAACCTAACCTGTTGCAGTTTCAGCTCAGTGGATATTACACTTTTCGAGCAAACAGTGAAAAACCATGCACAACCTTTTGATCACTAAACGCGATTTCGTCATTAACACTATGTATTTCCCAAAATAACTCAACTGACAGATCGTTGGAAATCACCTACATTACTTTATTTCTTCTAACTGAGAGCCACCAAGAACAATATTACAGGCTGTACGATCTTTAATCCATTAAAATAATGCTTTTTTTTATATTAATTTGGTAGGTTACTTTTGGAATAATGCAAATGATAAAGCTTTAAAAACAAAGGTCGAACAAAAGAAATCCAAGAGATCTTGTAGCGAACACACATAATGAAAATGTGGTATTATGGATAAAATACGGATTTCGTGTTCGAGATATTCTGTGGTCGGAGTTTCGGTCATCGTTTTCCAATTGTCAATACGAGGGCACATTGGATGATTGAAAGGGGCGGATAGTCTAGGAAATTGTTCGAAGCCTCTGAGAGATGAAGAAAAATGCAACCCAGGGCTGTTTTAAAATGCAGCGTTGGGAACAGCCCAGACGCAAGTCTCAGGTTGGGTTATAACAATACCTGGGGTTATCGCGAAGCGTTTGGTCCGCTTGGGAACAGACAGCTTTATCCCACAACTAGAACTTTCATTAAGGATGCTCCGTTAATGAAGGTGAAGGCAC